TCAGGCTGTAATTTTCTTACTTTCTCAATATGTGACCCACACTCTCTCACAACCTTTAAAAAGTTCCTCTTCATCTTTCTTGTGGGCTCTCTTTAGGTACTGGAAGGCTGCTATATCATCTTCCAGGAGCCTTGTCCTCTCCAGAGCCCCAGCTCTCTGCCTGCCCTCATATGGGAGCTGTTCCAGCCCTCTGATGACTTTTGTCACTCTCTTCCAGATCCATTCCACCAGGCCCACGCCCTTCTCATGTTGGGGATCCAGAGCTGGGGGCAGTACCCGAGATGGGGTCTCCTGAGAGCAGAGGGGCAGAATCACCTCCCTCCACCTGCTTGCCAAGGTCCTTTTGGTGCAGCCCAGGACACGTTTGGCTCTCTGGGCTGTGAGTGCACGTGGCTGGCTCATGCCCAGCCTCTCATCCACCAGCACGCCCAATCCTTCCCAGGGCTGCTTTGTCCAACCTGTGCTTGTGATTGGGATTGCTCTAACCCAGGTGCAGGACCTTGCATGTGGCCTTGTTGCACTTCATGAGGTTCTCACCTCGTGTCAAGCTAATTTTGTGAGAAAGTTGTTCCTTGCTTCTCTAATCCATATTAATTGAGCAAGAGCAGTTGCCTGACTGTCACAGCTATGAGCCACTGATGAAGCTGTGGATAAAGCAGCAGGAGTCATAAGTTACAGTTCCCAGTCAGGATGAAAATTTTATAGGGTGCCATGTAGACTACAAAATGATTCCAATTAAGAAGAATTTTCAGTGTAATGCAGCTTTTCAAAACCATAAAATAATATGCACCTCACAAAATGCCACATTTCCAAGGGGTGGAGAGGCATCATATCCTGTCAGACCTCATGTTTCCAGGGAGCAATAACTAAGACACAAGTAAGCTCACCAACTGCTCAGTTTGCTCGGGTGTCTCACTCACCTCCTTTCAGATCCAGCTGCAGGCTCTGTACCAGCAGGGTATTTGGTGGTCTGATTTCTCTGCAGTGTCTACAGCTCTGATCTCTCTGGCAGTGCTAGCAAAGCAGAACATGATGCTAAAATCACCTTTGTTACAGCTTTTGGCAGTTACCAGTGACTATGCAACGAGCTGAAGTAATACAGAACTGTAGAGTTTCATAAAAAGCAGGACTTAAAATAATAAAAAGTCATCAGACCTTTCTGCTGCTGCCTAAGCCTCCTTGGCCATGAATCAGAGCAGAGTTGAGCTTTGCCAGCCCCCTGCAGAACCAGCCCTGCCACAGCAGCTCTTCTGCTCTGCCTACTCCCTGCCTTCCACTATAGCCTTTCTGCCAACAGCACTGAGATTTGTAGTGCTATGAAGGTTTGTGGTTGCATTCAAACTTGTTCTCTGTTTAACCTGCTCATGAAAACAAGAGGAAGAAATGCTGCTCCAAGTAACTGCTAGATCCCATCATTAATAAGGAGTCTAGTTCCTACTAGGATATCACAAATAAAAACAAGGTTTGCTGTTAATAAGAAGAGTTGCTGTGTCCTCTTGAAAAACAGCTGTCACTCTGTGACTCAGGGGCTTTAGATCCATCATTACTAAAGTGGAAATCGCCACTGGGAGTGATGCATGCAGCAAGGGAGAGGGAAGAGGCACTGGGATCAGACAACAAGGGTGGGTTAGCAGAAGGACAGGGAGAAGGGGCTGAGAGGGTGTTGTGGTTTAACACCAGCCAGCAGCTGAGTACCACGCTGCCATTCGCTCACTCCCCCACCAGCAGGATGTGGGAGAGAATCGGAAGAGTGAAAGTGAGAAAACTCGTGGGTTGATATAAAGACAGTTTTATAGGAAAAGCAGAAGTCCTACAAGCAAGCAAAGCAAAACAGGGAATTAATTCACTGCTTCCCATGGGCAGGCAGGTATTCAGCCATCTCCAGGAGAGCAGGGCCCTATCACATGTAATGATGACTTGGGAAAATAAACACCATCACTCCAAACGTCCCCCCCTTCGTCCTTCGTCCTTCTTCCCCCCACTTTATATACTGAGCATGATGTTCTACAGTATGGGACATCCCTTTGGTCAGCTGGGGTCACCTGTCCCAGCTGTATCTTCTCCCAGCTTCCCCAGCACCCCAGCCCCCTCCCTAGAGTGGAGGTACAAGAAGTACAAAAGGCCTTGACACTGTGTGAGCACTGCTCTCCAATAACAAATACCTCTATATTATCAGCATTGTTTTCAGTACAAATCTAAAACACAGCCCCATATGAGTCACTCTGAAGAACATTAACTCTATTCCAGCCAAAAGCAGCACAGGCAGTAAGAGCAAAGTTAGGGGTAATGCAGCAGAGGGAGGTGGGAATACAAACTGGTGGGACAGTGACTGGGACGATGGGGAGCAAAAGACATATTTTTCAATTAGCCAGAGCAAAAAACCATTTTCTGCACGTGCATTGGGGCTGCATTTTGACCTTTTGAGTTCACACATGATTTTGAGAACAGTAAAATTCCTCCTAAATCTTCAGGAGGTGGGGGGGAAACAACTAAAAAACCCCAACACCCTAACAGAACCAAGTTTGCATGTTTCACAGAAATGAGACTGTGGAACATCCATTATTTTAAACCACCCTTCTGTGCTCTGCAGTTGTAGTGTAGGTGGGAGGTGACGATTCAGATCTTTGAGTCCTAAGAACTGGCAAAGCGTGCAAGTCATATTAGCTTGGGGCTGGAAAGCAGCTGTTATGTAATTTCCTCTCATCTCCAGCAGAACTGCTGAGAAGTGGTTTATGTTATTTACAACTGCTATAACATTTTCCTGCTTGTAGTCACCATGGCTTCCTATTAAAAAGCAATTTGGTTATATATGGAAGTTTTATATGTAATATAGTATCTTTTATTCTCTCCCAGGGCTACATATTCCTCATACAATTATTACAGCTGGATATTGCAAGATTGTTGCATGGCAGCTATGCACCAAGCAATACCTTCAAAAGAAGTCTATAGAGTTAAATCCTTAAAAACTGACCTATGCTCCCAAGAGTTGACAATGAACCTTGTCAGAGTGGCCAGGACCTTGTGCATGCCCTGGGGAGAGAGCAAAACAACCCTGAGACTTGGGATCCTGCTCACCTCCTACAGAGACCTGCTTGTACCTTCTTCCTAGCAAACACCATTCTGTGATGCTGCTGTCCCTGCTGAGCTCGATGGCATCTCTGCACAGCACTGTGCTCTGCAGAGCAAACATTCCCCAAAGGACTAGCACAGTAATTTTCTTTCTTTCTTCATCTCACTGGGCAGCGTGGAAGGAAGGCAAGTCAAAATGGCATTTCAAACATGGTACACGTGATGATTAACCTTCCATACAACTATAGCTGTTACATTCTCCCTTTCAAAGATTTTCTTTCAAGAATCTGTGTAAACAGACTGCATTTAATTCCTCATCTGCAATAACTAGAGGCAAGGGCTGATCTTTTGGGAAGCTGACAAAGTTCAGGGTTTTGCTGGGATGAACTTGCCCAGCAGCGCAGCAGCAAAGAGCTCAAATAACCTCCATTCTCAATTATTCTTCCCCTGAAGAAATTAAATATGGAAATTTACAATAAAGCTCATAAGAACAAGAAATGTCATATTTTTATAACATCATATTCACATATTTCCCATTCAGAATTCCCTTACTATTTATCAAAGTTAACCCAGCTGTAAACACAGCTTTATAGGCTTAAAAAGCCTATAAAGGTGGAATTAATACTCTTTTACAAGCATACTTTTCCCAGCTCTGTGCTTGAATTACACCATAAAGGCTGTGAAACTGAAAACAAGACATAAATCATGTTTTATCAAATGAAAATTTCTGAAATACATTTTGGACTTGACTCCCAAGAAACTAGATCTCTGTTCATATTTAATCCCAAGGTAGGGAAAGAAAATATGTTGCAAAAAGCATATAAAAAGCTTTTTTTATGCCAATGAAACAAAAGCAAAATTATAAGATAATTAAGATATAAGATATAAGAGATATAAAACCCACAGGTCAGGCAAACAGAAAGTAAAGCAGCCTCACATGTTGCACCTTCATCTCAGTGACAGACACATCTCTTCTACTTTTGTTGGCACATTTTTGCACGCTCAGCAAATGCATCAGCACGTACTCAACACAAGAAATATTTAACAAGAATAAGGCTCTCTAAAGAAGGCTTTCAGCCTGAAATTTTCCCAAGTGTTAGTCCTATTACTAGTGAGAGACTAGAAATCCATTCCTAACCTTTTTGGTGTGTATACAAGCATTTGTGTCTATTTATTTTATTGATTTTTTTTTTTTCTTTCTCATCCACAATTCCTACAGATACCTGTACGCAAAAAAAAAAAAAAAAAAAAAAATCTATACACAAGACTTACATCACAGCTTCCCTTAAAAAAGTTAAAATGTCCATGACAAGACCAAATTTCAGGTTGTTTTTTCTTGGTTTTAAGCAGTCATAGAACATTCCCTACCATAAGGTGCTACCCTCCTTTCCTTTCTAGCTTTGATAGTATTCACTAACATTGGAAACAATTCCTAATATTTCCTCCCTATGCTATGGGAATAAATACTCAAAGTTAATGAGGGGATTCAATACATAATGGTGATAGTAAACAGACTGAAATAAATATTTGAGCAGAAGACAAATCTGAATCCAGAACTGAATTTGGTAGAAAACCTGTGGCATCCCACCGAAGATTTCCATGTGGCCAAATGTCTGTAGCATTTTTAGAGTTGTAAAATGCCTCAGTGGCTAGTTATAAACTCCTTGTGATATATTTATAGTTCAGAGAAAAAGTAAATAAATTTTAAAAATAAGTATAACTGACCTGGCACAGCTATGTGGTTTTTTTTCAGTGAGAACTTTTGAGTGAACAGAGAGAAAGAATAGTGTTTTGGTTCTATCTATTTATCTATCTATCTATCTATCTATCTATCTATCCTAGTTTTTTTGCCTCAGCTAGCCAGAAACTAAGAGTAAAGTAAGTGCAGTTTCTGATAATAAACTTTGTACTTTTTCTTTTCTTTTTTTATTCTTGGAACTACTCCTAGAGTTGTAGAACTCAATATTTAACACTAATGGAACAGATGATTGGGGATACAAGCATCATAAATTCACCCCAAGACAAACTGACTCCACATTCCAGTAGTGTACAATTTATTTTTCCTCACACTTCCTACTGGAAATGAATTATATAAGACACCAATGGGCTATGAAGGAGCACAGGATTCTCTGCACAAAGACAGTACCTGCCTCTTGTCTACCTCCTCTATCAATATCAAGTGACCCAAAGAGAAATGATACAGCTGCTGGCTGGCAAGAGCTTAATCCAGAGCTCACTAAGATAAAGCTCAAAGGCTTGAGGAAGCACCAAAAGTCTTAGCAGAGATTAACTCAATCCCTTGACTGAAGTAGAGCATCGACTGTTACCTACTTGGCCTCCCAGGGTAGAAGCCCAGTTGGCAGAATGATTTCCTGTAGATGTTAGAGCTCAGGCCACTGCCAAGGTTCATGTTATATAACCTGACTCTGTGATGATGGGTCCTCACAAACACAGCCTACCCAGAGCAGCTTCCCTTGGGTTTTTTGGCTGTAAAATTCTTTTGGGATTTTGTCTACCGTTTTTGTTTGGGGATTTTTTTTTTTAGGTTTTGTCTGTTTGAAATTGTCACAGTCTCAGTGTGACAATGAAGAGTTTTGAAGAGCATATGTACTACTGTATCCCAACAGCCCCCTTTGCAATAACAAATTTGCTGAAGTTTTCCAGTTATTATTTCTCTGCAAACGCTTCTTTAATTTACCTAACAGAGTCCAGTGTTGTCTTATTTATCCATTTTGGAACGTGTTTGTCTCTTGACAGAGCTAGACAAGGAGAAGAATCTGATTACATAAAAGCTATAAAACAACTGAATTTTTTTACCTTTTGGTATAATTTCTAGAAATTGCAGGTGTTGCATAGCCCCTTCAGGACAACTCCTGTAAAATATTAACCGAAAATGTAAATCTACCAGGAATCACATTCAAGTGAATGGTTCACACGAATTATCATGAGTATATCCAAAAGGACAGCTACCTAATTGACAAAACATCCATAAATATTTATTTACCGATAAGTAAGATAACGTGCATGCAAAAAAAGAAAAAAAATAAAAACCAGAAGCAAAACAACTAAGTGGAGATTCAGTTTTCAGATACCTGTAAAGTGTGTGCTGTTATAATGCTGCTTCCCATCCAAGTCCCAGTGGGACTGCAGCTTTGCTGAGCCAAATGCTCTACGGTATAACAGGTAGTTTTTTAGCCAACTTTTTGTAGTTTATTTACCACTTTAATGGGCATTAATTTGAAATTCTACATGTATTTAGCTTACCAGTTGAGGAGAACACAAGCCACATGCCCAAACATTCCATAACTGAAGCCAAAGCTCTGTTTCACTGGATATTAGAATGGTGGGAGACAAATGGAAAAAAAAAAAAAAGAAATTACTTCTAAAAGCAAAACATTTGCTTTCTAATCTAGCACTATTAGTCTCTTGCTTAGCAAAGAGATCCTGAGTTAAAGCTTTTACATCAGCAGTCACAATGCTGATCTATAAGCTGACATAACCATCATTCAGAACAAAACAAGTCCTTTCACAACCACTTCATTTTGGGCACCACCTTTCCCTTGATTATATATAAACAGCAAAACAGCTGTCAACTCCTAAACTCACTCAAATGTCCTATTTAATTAGGTTTCGGCTACAGCATAACTACTTCCTAAGGTTAATCCTGAATAGGCATTCTGATTGACAATCAACAAAAAAACAACCACGAAAAGAAATTTTAAAATTGCAGATAGAGTTTGCAGAAGTAATAGGAATTGTGCTAGTAATTACTGAGACAATTTTATCATTACTCCTACCTTAAACCACAAAAGGCAAGGTCAGTCCCTGTGAGTAACCTATTTCAGTGGAGCTGAAGTTTGTCAGGAAAGCAAACAAATCACATAAACACGTTAGCTAACTGTGTAATTGCTTGGTCAATCTTTAAGTCATATGGAAGACAGGAAATTTAGATATAAAACATACTGGCATGTTTATTTACAAAGGGAGTACATTTTGACCACAGGCTCTCCCTAAAAAATATCAAAAGAAGCTCAGTTGGAGTTCCAACAATCATGTTATTTCTAAAAGCACACATCGAAACTTAAGTTCAGCATCAGCAATGAGAAGAAATATTGCATGTAGGGATATTGGGTTAAATTGACAGACTTTACCAAATTCCAAATCACACCCAGAGATCCGAAATCATTATTTTCTTGCCCAGATATGTAGGTTAGTTAAACAGCTGAAAAATGAAGTTTTACAATCAGCAAAAATAGAAGTTTTGTGCAGGAAAAATGCTGGATCCTTGTACCTGTGAAAAAAATATGGTTTTGCTAATGCAATTATGAATTAATTAAAAAAAAAAAGGCATTTCAGCATACTTCAGCATTTGACTCTAGAAAATCTGTTAACACGCTTTATGTGATTTTTAAAATTACATTGATCTTCACAAACCATTTTGATGTTCAACCATGCTTCAAGAATTCCATAACTGGACCCCAAGCAGCAGCAGCAATGATCCTGAAGCTGTCACCAGACCAAGAGCACAGCGAGCCAGGATCTCCCTGCTGGGGATGTGGGTGAACAGGGGAGATGAAAGGACAGAAGATGACCTGGCCCCTTCACTGCCAGATCCCAGCTCCAACTCTCCTCCTACAATTGCCTTGCAAATACCACTCTGTACTCAGCTTAGCTGTGCCACAGTGCTGAAGGTTCAAACACTATTAACCAACCACGCCTTGTAAGAAGAACTCAGTAGTTTGTTTTCTACAACTTCAAGTAAAATTTCTGTGAAATAAAATAAGGATCATTTTAAAAGCATAATTGTTTATAAATACACACTAAAAATGCAGGAAATACCATTTTTTAAGGTCACACAAGAAAGGTAAGTTGATCCGTGTGTACGTGCATCATGCAATTACAATTGCACACTCACCTTTTCTCCAGAGAAAAGGTCTTACTTAGTAATTAGGATAAATTTACGAGAAGATGGAGTAATAACCACTCATGCCACAGAAACCTGGAATGTGACAGTGGTTTATTTCCATTGAGTTGCAGTCCGAATACCGTGTACAGGTTTCCTTGTATAAACAGATTTTAAATACTAACTGCAGGAAAAAATGGCTGAAGTACAATATATTACTGCATTGTTGCATCTTTTTATCCATTAATAGTATAAACTTGCTATAAAAAAAAGATAATCAATTAAAATTGAACAGGAAATATGAAAGCCACTTTTTTTTTCAACTGAAACACATGTACATGTTACAAATCAGTCTGTATGTAGTAAAAATTCAAAGTTTAAATTTTTCTGCTTCTTTAAAAAGTTCTGATGACTACACAATTGAATTTGGCAGAGCTGATATCCTTTTTAACAGTTACTCACTATCTCACTGTATGCTGTGTATTTTCACACAACCATGCAATTCTGAAATGGAACAATCTTTTTAACACTGAGGCTCAGGAATTTTTTTCATTTCACACCATTTTGCACCAACATCCCAGGAACACTTACCACTGCATACCAATAAACTGTTGAATAAATATAAAAGAGTATAAGCAAATTATAAGCAAAAACCAGTTATTCCCAGGTAGTTATCTCTGTTGTGAGATATGTCATGATTTTCTGCTTGGATTCAGAAGCTATGCATGAGCACACTGACAAATGACTAAAATAGAATTGAAATTTTATCCTCAAAAATCCTGCCAAGTAATTCCAACATCATAAAAGCAAAAGCAGAGAGTACAAGTATTTGTATTCAGGTGATTTTGTACATGTATAAGAAGTACTGAAACACACCTTTATTTACAAGTGGCATTAATGTAAAATATTTATCTTGCACACATGTAATGTATCAGCCAAATACAACAGGACAGATAAAGTGCAGTGGCTGGCATTAGACAACTTCTATGTGTCCTAAGAAAGTTACTAAGCACAAAGTGTCATCCACTAAACTATCTGAAGCCCTTAAATGAGCTGGAAAACAGTGATACTTACACAAATCTTCCCTTTCCTACTTGCCCATCACCCTTATTTTGGGATTCCTTCATTGCAAGCCAATTCAGTTCTTGCAAACCTTGCTCCGTGTAACAGTCTGTTCAATACACATGAGAGCTTTAACATATCCCTTGCACATTTAGTGACAGAATGTAATAGTCCTGGCAACCCAAAGAACTCCTGAAATGCAGCATCCAACATGTCAACTAATTCAAAATTGTGTTATAGAATACAAGCAAAGATGGCATCACAAAGTTTATTGCTCCCACAGACTGAAGTTCACATTAGCTCGGTTTAGAATTAAAGCATTTTCTACCTGATTTATAGAACCATACAAGTGGCATATTGAAAATCAAGATCTTTTTCTGACTTATTGTCAATAATAAAAAGTCTGTTGACCAAAGTCCCCAGACAGGTCTAAGGATTAGCTGGGTTATGCAAGTGATTAGCCAAGGTTACAATAATCAGGCATTGAAATTATGATCCAGGACAATATCTGTCCTTCCCCTGTTACTGGAATTGTTGAACACAGAATAGTGAAGGAAAAATTTGCATCTACCTCTGCTTTTGCTGGGGGCCAGAGTGCTGTTACAGTTTTGTAAAGCTCTGTACACATTAGGATAACTGCTTGCATAAAATTTGTCTATAAAACTGCCTCTACTCGTGTTCAAGCAAGATACCACTAGCTCCTATCTGAACCTCAGCTGAACTTTAAGCACCACAGCCATTAAAAAAAAAACACTTTCTATGCATCCAAAACATCTGAAATGCCATTTTTGTAACTTCCTTTTAGACACAGTATGTAATGCAAGCTGCAAAAACAAGTGCCTTGTTACACACTTCAGCAATACACCCTCAATGTCTTTGCAAACTAGTTCAACAAGTAACCTAGCTTTTTCAAATTCCTTAAAGTTATCTGCATGTCCCTGTGACTCATGCAGCAGATAAATTGCTGGGAACCCATCCCAGGGTCCCGCATGGCTGGTTTTTAACACCACTTTATTTATTTGTGATATTTTAGTATCATTTTAATCACACAGAGTGAACACTATGGAGTACTAATCCTTTTCACTTCGCTTACTGAGCATTTCTAAGCTTTGTGTCTCAAAACATAAAATTTGCGATTACAATTCATAATACAGCTGAAAATGGTAATTTTGGAACACCTTATAAATGTGTTTGGGGTCTTTTTTGAAGTTCGTGATAGTCACAACTCTGAATGAATTAATCATACCCAACCCAAAACCTAAGCAGCCTGGATACAATGTTTTTAATCAGTCAACACATCACTGCTATTTAGTGATGCTATATTAATAATTTCACTTTTAGAGTCACATAAGTAGCCATTTTCCCCATAAACTACCTCTGTTCCTTATGAACACATCCATGACTGCATCTTTGCCATGCTCTCACCTCAAAACTCAGCTTTCCAAAGATTCGTGGATTAAGCAATAGTGGACTAGAAAGACCGGGGGTTTTCCACTGCTGTTTGCACTTTAAAGAAAAAGCACAACTGGGTGTAAGGAGAACAGGAAAAATACTGTATTTACCAGTATTTTGAAAATAATGTAATATTTAAATCTACTCTTTGTACCATATAAACCAATAAAAATATATACATCAATCCTGCAGCTCTTTATCCCACGTGCTCAACTAAGACTCATGCATTTCAGCTATTTCGTTACTTTTTAATCCTAACTTTAACCCAGTACCCTTCTGTTGTTTAAGGATGGAATGTTTTACTATTTTGAGATCAGGGACTGATTTCAACACATGCTGAAATAATGTAAACACATGTGCACATTTGCAAACACATTTTAACAACTTGCAAAGCATTTCAATCTTGTGAGGGGAGTAAAAATCTGCATCTCCCTATGACATGACTTCTATTTGAGTAACAAGAGGGTGCCAAGGTACCACTACTGACACGACAAATCTCAACCAAGTTTGAGGCTAACTGCAGAATAGAGATTCCCAAAGACCAGTGTCCAAGCCCAAATGTTTACAGTCCAGCAGAGCTGGCTCACCACCAACCCTGGTGTCACCAGCTCATGAACTAAGCCTGAGAACTCCTAAGGCATATTAATATAGAAAATCGTTTCTCACTAGCAAACAGATACACTAAGATCTCTTGCAGTAAGAAAATAATTATAGATATTCAATTGTCTTTAAATGCTTGGGTTTCTTTCTGTCACATATTGACAGACACCAGAATTAACAGTGGTTCACATTTGTAAAGTACTATATCCCTTCTTCCTACCTCTTAGCAGGGGAGACCAAGGAGAAAAGCTAAATATGTCTTGTGAACCCACCTGCAATTCTTCCCCACACCAGGAATGCACAGGGTAGAAAAGAGCACAAGTAAAATTATATTCTTTATTCATTCCATTTTAGCTGTGAATATTCCTATTATACAAATACAGTATAAATTCCAAAATCACAATATATTACAAAATAAAAAAGTACAAACTGCATTACTTAATAAATATATCTAACAAGTTAATCAGAAAGTAGAAGAGACAGAATCCAGATCGGAAACGTTTAAATGTTTGACCCAGCAAACCATACAAACCTCAAATTATGTACTTTTTTTCTCTTAAACCATAATGTAGAATACCATTCCTGATTTCTTGATTAGAAAATAAAGTCACGTGAATAAAATGTTGTGATCAGATAATGATTTGTTGGTGAAACACCAGTGCCAAAAAAGAAGCAGGGCTTACACGAAAGACACCATAACCCCAGAAACAAGAACACAAAACACTGAGGTGCAGCCAAGGCAATTACTGCCAAAGCAGGAGACTATTATCTAGTCACAACATTCTATTGCAAGTTAATGTTCTGTTATTATAGATAAATAATATAAATGGAGCAGAGGGTGAGCCAACCAGGCAACAAGAGGCCAGTTTACTCAAAACAGTAATTAAAAACAGAAGAGTCAATTGCTCCCTGCACTGTTCACGTGTAGCTGCATTCCAACTGGCTTAAAGGACCTGTTCTGTGCTCCAAGCAGAGAAAGCAACTGTTCATAAAGCAGTCTGTTCTCACTTTGCTGCACTTTTACAAAAGCCATTATTTTAATTTTACAAGAAAATACCCACAATATTTTTATCAACTAAGGGAGTCAGTTTGACATCAACTTCATTTGGTAAAAATATAAGGTTTATGGGTAAAAAACACAGCAAAAAATAGCTGTTACATCATAAGCCTTATTTACAAAAACTGTTTACAAACGTTTTTGGCTGTACAGCTGAAAGCCAGATACTAATGTAAGATGTAGAAGATGGAGGTAACAGTTTAAAAATAGTGTGCAAAAAATACATTCTTATAGAAAATAGACAGTGGGGAGGGAAGACAAACATACACAGAGAAATCTGCTTGCAAATAACCCGAGGCTAAGTTTTTACAACAGAATATTACAAATACGTCTGTATTTATCCCCCCACAACCTACAGTCCTTCTCAGTCTGGGGTGCTGCTGCTTCATTAAGGATTAAGGCATCACCATCACAGCCAGCACACCTTCTCTCTGTCAGTCCCTGCAGCAAAGCTCCCAGCCCGCGGCCCAGGCGCTCTCATGAGCAGGCGTTCTGCTCAATGTACATCTTGGACAAGGACACAGCCATGGACTTGGCCAGCTCCTCATCCCGCCTGCGCTGTACCTGAGTCTGTCTGCACCACGCCTCGTACTCGGGGTTGGGGCACACGCGGTCCAGCACAGCATCGTAGTGCCCATTGCTAAGCCAGCTCAGCCAGATACTGGGCCGTGTCGGGTCCTCGGGCCCCAGGTAGTGAACCATGGTGGAAACGGTGGGGCTCTCGGGCCGGCCGCCCGTGGTGAGGTGGATGTTCACGTTCAGCATCTGGCCCATGGCCAGCAGCTCCGGGTAGCCGGCCCAGGCCCCGTCCTGGGCGGCGCCGATGAGGAACTCTCCCACGTCGCCCTCGATGATGGGGTTGAAGTGGTCCAGGTGGTCGGCGATGTAGTGCACGGTCTGCTCGCGGAGCTCGCCGTGCAGCCGCTGGTCCCCGTACACCGCCTTGCAGACGGCGCGGTACAGGCAGTTCCCGTCGGGGATGATGTGGAAGCGGAACCGGCCCTTCTGCCGCAGGTACTTGTCCTGCTTCTCCACCTCGGCCAGGTACAGCGCCAGCTTCTCGCTGCGCTCCGCTCTGCCGCCGGGCCCCCGCCGCACGTCGGGCCCCGCCGCCTCCTCCTCCTCCTCCTGGCCGTGCGCGGGGCCGCCGGGCTGCGCGGGGCCCCCGCTTCGCTCCGCGGAGCCGCAGCCGGGAACCAGCCCGGGCTGGGCGCCGGCGGCCGCCGCCTGCAGCGCCTGGCAGTGCTCGCTGAGCCGCAGGCTGCGGTTGCTGGGCTCCTCGGCGGCGGCCTCGCCGTCGCCGCCGGCCTGCCGCACGCTCTCCAGGATGCCCTCCAGCCAGGCGCGGCTGCGCGGCGAGCCCGGCACCAGCTCTCCGGCGGCCTCGGCGCGCTGCACGATGCGGATGGGCACGATGCGCTCCAGCGGCCGCCGACGGCTGACGGTGACCTGCGCGCAGGAGCTGAACTGCGGGCCGCCCGCCGGCCGCCCGGCCGGGCCCGCCGCGGGGCCGCTCGGCATCACCTCCAGGCAGGACGAGAAGGCGGGCATGGCGGCGGCGCTGCTGCTGCCCCCCGCGGGAACGAAGCTATCTTTGCCGGAGCTCTCGGCGGCCGCGTTCGGGCCCGCGACGTCGGCGCCGCTCGGTGCCTCCGCGGCGGAGGGTCCCGGCGACAAGGAGACTTTGAAGACGGCGGCGGAGCTCGGCGAGGCCGCGGCGGCTGCTGCGGTGGCGGCCGCCGGGTAGTGGGTGATCACGGAGCTGTAGAGCTGCATCCTCGGCTCCCCGCGGGCGGCGCTTTATAGGCGGCGCCGCCGTCGGAGCTGGGGCGGGGAGCGGCAGCGGGGGCCGCGCTGGGGCTGCCGAGGAGGATGAACCGCCCGGGTAAAAATAAACAAGGGCATCACCGCCCGCCTCGCCCCGCCCGGGCCCCGCGGCCGCGGCAATTCCGACTGCGCCACGGGCCCGGCCCCCCCGCGGGCTCCGGCCCTTCTGGAAGCTGCGGGAGCGCGGAGCGGGGCGGAGCTGCCCGGGACGTCAGCGAGCACCGCCCCTGCCCCTGCCTACGTCTGACCGGTGTCACGGTTCCTGCTTTGCAGCTCGGCAGGGATAATGTTCGTTTTATCCATTGGGGTTGGACAGTTCCAGGCACAAGCTGCTGTTTGTCCACCTGCAGTCCCACTGTGGGAAATGCAGTGCACGCATAGAAAGATGTGGGCTATAAACCAGCGCATTTTAACAGGAGACGCGCTGTCTGAAATACGGGTCTCATCCAGATCATTGATAATTGGTTTATTAAAGTGCCTGTAGCACTTTAAAATTAAGCCATGTCTTCTAGCCTCGGCTGCGGCATAAAGTCATACCTAAGCCTTTGTCTAGGGACGGTGATGTGATCTGTACACTCGGTTTTGATTACGTTCTGACGGGCGTGATGACCAAGAAACACCAGTTTGCACTATGATCAAATGTTACCACAGACAGTCATGCCTGACAAAATGGGAGAAAAGGTATTGACATATGGAAGTTCAATGTGATACTTAAAAACAATTCTGGATTCCATTCCACAGCCTCAAGTATCTTCAGGGAAGTGTTACTAATCCAAGCAGATTGTAGAACTTTAAAAACAAACAAAAACCAAACAGAAAACCCTTTATTTTGATATTCTGAAAACTTTTTTTCCTCATTCCATTTACATTAATTAAAAAGACAGACTAAGAGGATCACTTGCAATATACTGCAATGTCAAAAATAATTGTTTCTTTGGAGTCTTGATTGTATTTTGTATCAATGTTTAGGGATATACTTCCTATCTTTAGTCTCTGCAGTTAATTCCAGGGCTACCAATAACACAATATGGAATTCCATTTTCTTTACATGGAAAACATATTATGACTCATTCAGTTGCATGTTGGAGTAAAAAAGCTCAAATCCTTCATACAAAGTAATGTGGATATTTATGGGAAAAGTTTTCACATACATCATTTTTATTCTGGATAAAACACAGCCGTTTATTGCATGCAATATTGGAAACCTTTGAATAAAAATTTACAGACTAAATATATATCCAAAATTTTTGCCTTCGAAGATGAAACGTAAGAAGTATATTAGATATGAATCAAAGCCAAAATGTCCTCACTTACCTGCCAGAGCCAGCCAAAAAGTTGATATCTTTAGAACAAATGGTGATGGGCCTTATCCAGGAGCATTTCTGGCAGCCTGTTAGAGTGGGATAAGATATTACAACTGCTCTGAAATTACAGAGTGACTCTTGTATTTCAGAATGTTCAGAACTTTGTTTTAAATATAGTTTGTGAGCCCAGTCAGTGAGTCTTTATTTCTGGACTAATCATTACTTAGAGAGGAATATATATTGATCAAATAGCACTAAATTGCAATCTTCTCTCCTTGAAATGGAGGCTTAGAGCAAAGGAAAGATTCTTGTCTAGTTTTATTTCTTAGTCAAAACTTGTCTATGTTGATTTCCAAGTTGACATGTATATATTTATATATATACTGATTGGAGATTTAATGTAAAACTCCAAAACTACTGGAAATTGAACCTCTCAAGTAGGTTTAAAATATGCCAGTTGCTCTTCATTGTGTGTTTGGTCATTTATAACATTTATAAAGATGTATATTACTTAATGCTCACCAACCAGTTTTGGGGGTTGTTTTGTTTTGTTTTGTTTTGTTTTAGTTCAGAAAAGGTATCTGTAGTTCGGTGAATGTTCTGTCTGCTAGTAAATGTCAGAGCTGAGTGCAGGATGGTGGTTTAAAGTCTTCAATAGTCTGGTAACAGAGAGAGGGAGGGAGAGAGGCAGCTCTTTCTCTCAGACAACAGTAAATGGATGCAGCAGAATAAGAGCCCTTCTGGCAGGACCAAGTGCTGCATTTTGAATACTCAGTACTGCAAATTTCATTCTTTTAGGATATTATAGAAACTCCTGCTAATGACTGTTCTGCCTCTCCAAAACCACAGGTTATTTGGAACAGTGGTACATTAATGGATGGGCAGCTGTTTAATTCTGGTTGTTGGTTACAATGAGGTACAACTTGAAGTTTGTGGTGCTTCATTTGAGGAGACAAACAGATTTTTGTATGCCCAAATTACCCTTGTACTAGTATTCTTATGCTCTAATGTGTAGCATATTCTGGATAAGAAAACTTGTTTATCTAAACAGAAATACAGGGAATATCCTGAAATACATGCTAAATATACCAGCAGCTTTTTGTAATTGTGGCAGATAGATTGTTCTTTTTTTCACGTTTTGCTTATAAGCAGATATAATGTCTTTTCTAAATTTTCAGTTAAAATGCACATAGTAAGCTTACTAATAACATTAAAATACATTCAAAATCTGTTGCTAGGTAACTGAGAAACAAAACAAACATTGTAACCACCGTCTTGATGTTAATAGTATGCTACATTTGATATCTTTATTATGTCCTGTAAGTAAATGGAAAGAGAAGCTCACCTTGGTGTGTTTTACCTGTGTTGTTATTAAGTACTGACAGTGTAATGCAACCAACATTTTTCATAACTGAGCAGCCAGAGTTAGTCACAGGTACTTGGCCTGAGGGGAATCCAGTCTCTCTGGATGACCAATGACAAAAATCCCATGGAGTCTCTGCCACACAAGCATCTCATGGTTAGCTTTCAACTCTCATACTAGGAGTTACCAGGAATCAGCACGTCCTAAAGGTCATTTTCTTAGATATCTGACAGGTTTTAAGAATAACATCCTAAATCATGGTCTGCATCAGGCAGTAATCATAGAATGGCCTGGATTGGAAGGAATCTTAAAGATCATCTAGCTCTGGTCACCTTCTGCTAGACTAAGTCATTAAAAACGCCATTCAACCTGGCCTTGAACACTTCGATTGATGGGACATCCACCACCACCAGGTGCAGGACCTGGAATGGTCAAGTGCTGGGAGTACAGTTCTGGTGAAATAGAAATTTCAAAGAAATATTTAAATGTCTTTAATGCAGTGGTATCTATAAAAGCCAGGGGCACATGGTTCTGCCTTTAGTGCCTTTTACTACCAGAATATTGGTCTTTAACATTTATTTCAGCTACATATAGAACTGCTGTTAATTCCAAGGGAAAGCTAAATTTTGCTTTACTATGATCCGGCTAAAACACAACCCATGTATCAATTTCTTCCAGAATACTCCTGTATTTCCAACTTCTGTCCACTTTTCCTACAGGTTGTGGCCTCACAAGCACTAGAGGTGTTTGGAAAGTGAGGAGAACACAGTATGGATATGCCCTTCACTATTTTCCACCGAGTAATATTCCTGAGCTTCTGGTTCACTCATTACAGGGTAATGTACAGTCCTTTGCTCTTACAGAATAGATCTCAAAACAAACTCTGCAGTAATAAAGCATAAACATCTCCCGTGGTTAAAGTTTCTCTTGACATTACTGTTATCACTGGTTACCCTGCACATTCCAGGAATAGTTTAGATTGTTTAGAAGGCAAACCACAATCACAAAAACAGCTGTGGAACAACAGTGGTATTCACTGACGTAAAATGAAATGCATGAGAGTAGAGCTAATTTTAACTTTAATATGTAGTAGATACATGATTGACATAGAAGAAACGAATTAATTACATCACCAGGAACATTTGCTAGTGAAGAAAGAAGGAGAAGTTGGCTAAATGATGTAGTGAATTCCATTGCTTCTTTTTTATTTTGTTTTTGTTTGTGCTGACATAACAGCCCTTCAGACAAAGGTATTTCTGACTAAAGTATTTAATGAATTAATAACTTTATGTATGTAACTGGAAGATGAAATGTTGAATTTATACTAATATTCTGAGGTGGTGTACCAAGGAAAAAATTTGAAAATTATTAGAAAATAGAAAAATATATCAAGAATCTTCTAATACAGGGAAGAAATGCATATACACTTCAACTAGAAGGAACACATTGACAAAGCATCCATTTCATCCTCTGTTGCTTGTAGATGATCATATCAATCATATCATATCATATCATATCATATCATATCATATCATATCATATCATATCATTCCTTTCACAAAATTACCAATTACAGGTAACTTATCCGAGGTATAGTCAGTGAATTTATGAAGCTGTCACAAGGTAACAGAACTGCCAAAAGAACCAATTCTGCTCTTTCCCTTTCCCAGTCTCTTTTTTGTTCTCCTGATGCCAGCTGCTCTGTGATGGCCTAAGTGTTAGTATTAACTGAAGTACTTAGTGTATTTCACCCTAAATGCTAACATAAAAAGGAGGAAAACTGTATCCACACTTACACTGAGGTGTGAAAATGTTGCATAAAACAAGGGCTATGTCTCACAGAGCTTTGCCTCACAATTTGTTGTTCAGCTTCTGCATATATTAAAATTTTATTCACTGCATGGGTGCACCAGGCATTAGAGATGCAACCAGTGCTATGACATCATGTGGCAAGAGTTTGTGGAAAAAGGGCTGTTGGTGGTAAATATAGACATTTGCTCATGTCTCAAGGGCTCAGTTGGTATCCCACTTGATAACTGAGCCTCTAAATGTGAGCGGTGACGCAGGGCAAGCCTCACATTTCTGCTCAGAAGTGTAGATGGCATTTGCAGTGATCATTGTGCACAGGGCCTTAAGATGATACCAGGAAAAAAAGCTGGAGGGGAATCTACAATGCCGTTTCCTATGAGAAAAAAAATGTTAATAATGTGGTACTAATGTTACACAAACAAACTTTATAACGTATATGATGTTTAGAAAGGTTATCTTCTCTTTTCAAATAAACCTTATGAGATATAAAAGTGTTCACAATGTCTATTTTTTTGTCAGTTACAGGAAATCAGGCATCTTCTCTCCCTTTCATTTTGGTTAATGGCAATTTAGGGTCAAGGAAAGTAGATACTTTGGCTAAGACTAAGAGCAGAACACAGTTCTGACAAGAAC